AAAAAAAAAAAAAGAAAAAGAAAAAATAAGTGACCTGCTGAATAGTGCAGAGCTTGTATTTATGTACAACTTCTACGAGCTCTCACAGTCATCCTCCCAGCCGCTGGGCTCCTGCCCCACCAGTGCACCGAGAAAGTGGGAGGGAAGCCTCTTCTTTATAAGAACACTTCTTCAAAAGCCAAGTAAAAATAGTTTTCAGGGATAATTGTCATTTAGGTTTTTTCCCCCCTTTGTGCTAAGATTAATTTTCACCTTTGTGCTGGGGCAAATGGTCTCTCTTTATAATCTCTACTTTATCTAAAACTTTGTCTCTCAGAAGTGTTTTTAATAATGTTTACACGTGTGAGCTTAAAAATCCTCTTAAGAGGGTATAATTTTCATTTCAAGAAAATATTACAAGTTTTCACTTATTTCTAAGTAATAGAAATGCATAAATGGTTAGATGCATATTTGGTACATAAATTTAAGTTTACCTGAAAAATATAATCAGGGCACAAACTGCACATACTAACAAAATTTAGAAAACAAAACACAAAAATTTGGCATTCTCTTTCATGTGTTTGGTTTGTGAAGGTTCAAAAGTAACAGCTAACTTGTTTCACAGATCCCTGTTCCAAGATACCTCACTCATCCCAACCCCAAGAAAATGTAAAGCCTGGGTTAATTTCCTGCAATAAGTAGTCATTTAATTAAAGAGCAAAATTAACAGGAATCAAAATGTTGCAGCTGTATTTTTTGTTAGACATTATATAAAAAAAAAAGAAAAAGTATAATACAGTAAATTATTTTGTATAACATAAACTTAAAAGAGTTTTCAAATGAATTGTGGTCAGGATAAAAATGTCTTTTCAACATAATACTGAATGACACTGCGTCCCCTGTCCCTCGCATCAGAGGCCCGGGAGTGGTGAACCTGCACATGGCCAGCCGCCCGTCCTCCACGGCACCGCAGAACTGTAGAACAAGGTTGAAAGGCAAACAGCAGTTTCTTTCTGGTAGAGTGACTTTGGGTCTTAACTGACCCCAGCATCTCACACTCCTCAGACAACAAAGAAGAAGTGTGTCCTCTGGTTACTCCTCATGCAGGTCAGTGCGGCCAAGGTACACCTGTGTGTGTGACCCTGTTCTTCTCACAGACACAGGGAGTCTTGAGCTGAACTTCAGGAAAGTTCCCTGATGAATGTTCAGTGTTGGTATCAAAAATTAAACACAAATTCTTCTCAGAAGAAAATCTCTATGGCCTGTGGAATCTAGGGATTATGAAAAAGACAAAGAATTTAAGGTTATACATTTCTAACAGATAAAATTGCCAAAAACCTTCCACAAATCAATTTGCGGCTATTCAAAGCTTCTCAGAAGGCCCACGTATGATACCTAAGGGCAGGTCTGACCTGGTTAAAGGAGTGAGAGTCTCGGAGGGCTCCCAACCTTCAGGCCTGTTTTGTTCCCAAAAATTTATGGTGAATTCTTCATTTGAAAGCTTCTACTTAAACCCGTGGAGCACACAGAAAGGCCAAGGCTTTGTTAAGTCAGTAGAAGTAACGATTCAGTTAATAAATTGTTGGAAATTAGGATGAGTCTTTTTTTATAGTTATGTGTTCATAGTAATGTCAAATCTACTCAAGAAAATCTTGCATAACTACACATATCATTCTGGCTCTGATATGAAGTGCTAAAACACGGCATAAATAACTTATGATTATTTTCTCGTGTTCAAGTATTGGGCTAAATTTTTAAAATTTTTTGATCTAAGAGAACTATCAAGAATTTATAAGAGAAAATAAACATCTTTAGTAAACATTTTAATAATATGTAAAAATCATTCATACAGAAAGATGTATTCAATTGAGATTACTATGCATAGAATATGGAGTCATTGTATCCTATTTAAAACAGAATTAAGTTTAAAAGAATTTTGCACATCTTTTTTTTTTTTTTTGAGACAGAGCCTCAAGCTGTCCCCCTGGGTAGAGTGCCGTGGCATTACAGCTCACAGCAACCTCCAACTCCTGGGCTCAAGCGAGTCTCCTGCCTCCGCCTCCCAAGTAGCTGGGACCACAGGCGCCCACCACAACGCCCGGCTATTTTTTGGTTGCAGCCGTCATTGTTGTTTGGCGGGTCCGGGCTGGGGATTCGAACCCGCCACCTTAGGTGTACGTGGCTGGCGCCTTAGCCGGTTGAGCTATAGGCGCCGAGCCGAATTATGCACATCTTACTGGAGATGTTTCCCAAACATTCCTAACACCCATTCAAAATAAATAAAAAATAAAATGATCTATAGTATTTCTTGCTAAAAGCATGTTAGTCATGGGAGGAAACATCTATGTTATTTGTATAATTTTCTCCTGTCCTTCTAACCTCCCCTTCCTCTTTGATATGTTCATCCTGCATCCACTGAGTAGGTGGGATTCCATTGTGCTGGTCTCTGTCCCATAGCTTTGCGGAGCTTACAGAGTAAATCTTTTAAATAGCAATCACAAAGGCCACTTGGTGACCAGCGGAAAAGGAAAGGAATCCATCATTTTGGTTTCAGGCAGTAACTACAAGAGGACTTCCCTTCTGTCCGGCTTTGAGGCTTCTATAAAAAGAGAGAGGACAAAGTGACAGCTGCAACTGGAGTCTGGCTGCATCCCGGGCAGCCCCGTTAGGACTGGAGGTGTGAGACCCTCACATAATTACGACTGGGCAAGGTACAGACAAGAAGGGGGAATAAAGATCGTCCAGCTCAGGAAGCAGGAGGAAATGTTTCCTGATTGGTCGTCACCAGAAGCCGAGCGTCATCCCTTCTACCTGGTAGCAAGGACAGAGAATGTGTTCGCCTTGGTGGGGAGGGCTGGATCAGGGGCAGCAGGCAGTCCACTCACAGTGCAGCAGAAGCTCCGGGCAGAGCGGACAGCAGGGCTCTTTTCACATTCAGCCGCATTTTCAGTCCCTAATGGTGCCCGGCACATAGTAGGGATTCGCTGAGGAAGCGAGCTTTTTCCGCTTTAGGGGAGCACTGGCTTGTGTTAACCATGTTGAATAATAATTTTAAAAATACATAGGAAGGTGGAGACTAATTTCACAGTATTTAAATATAAATAAATTGACAAGTTCTATAAACTGGAGGAATTCTGAATATTAGAGGAAAGGAATTAAATATATAGGAAAATTACTTGCATCACTTTGAAACTAATTTTCTGAAATCTATGTTAACTACTTAAATACTCCAATTCTGTTCTCCCACCTACCAACTTTCACCACAGCCCCGGAGAAACCGTGGGAGCAGACAGCATCTGTACCTGACATACATTCTCTTCAGCAGTTTTCTGAAGAAATGCTGAATTCTTTTAGCTGGATACATAGTTCTTTGTGGCTTGTGTGTGTGTTTTAAAAATAAATGTCCTGTTATCATGAAAAGTATCAGGAAATGACACCTGAACATACAAACAAAAATCTACCTTGTCAAATGCTTGCTTGATGCGTGTACTTCCATTTCGTTACTTTTGTATTCATTTAATTCTTTACGAATTGCTGCCTGAAATTTAAAAACAGGTTAACAGAGGAAACTAGTTATAGATTCACAGCCATTCACAGCCATTTCTAATACCTGCTGACTCTATTACTTTATAATATATAGTAAATAAGAAAACAATATTTTGTTCAGCAGGTAGACTCTCTTACACACTTCAGTCATCCTTCTGCGCTAGCGAACAGCCAGTATTTTGGAAATCTTTAAGAAAATTTTATTTTTACATATAATATTTGTGGGGTACAAGTGATATTTTGCTAACCGCATAGACTTGTGATTAAGGGAGGGCATTTGGGGTGTCTGTGACCTCAACTATTTATCATTTCTACTTGTTAGGGACAGTTCAAGCCCTCTCCCTGGCTACTTTGACATGGACCGTACATTGTTGTTAGCCATAGTCACAGCGTCTATCATCGAACATCAGAACTTCCTGCTCCGATGGATCTGTGTGTTCGCCAAGTTCTCTTTAGCCCTCTCCATCTGCCTCCTCTGCTATCTAGCACTCTGCTCTCTGCCTCCGAGAGGTCAAGGCTTTCAGCTCCCACGTGAGTAATAACACGTGATCACTGTCTTTCTATGCCTCGTTTATTTCACTCAGAGTAAATAATCTCTGCCTAGACTCATCTTCCCTGAAGTGTCCCCCTGTGTTTTCTTCTAGTAATTTTTCTTCTAGTTATTTTATAGCTTCTCATCTTCTGTTAAGTCTTTACTCCACCTGGAGTTGATTTTTGTATGTGGTAAGCAGTGGCAGTTTCAGTCTTTTGCATAGGGATAGCCATTTTTCCTGGGACCATTTATTGAAGAGAGTGTCCCTGGTGCTTCAGTCAAAAACCAATTGGCTCTAAAGACATGGATTCACTTCTAGAAGCTCCGTTCTCTTCATTGGTCTGTCTGTGCTAACACCACGCTGTTCTGGTGACTGAAGTCCTGTGATAGATTTTGAAATCTGGGAATGTAATGGCCCCAACTTTATTCTTTTTACCGAGGATTGCTTTGGCTTTTGGACTCTTTTTTGGTTTCCTATGAACTTTGGGATTTTTTTTCTATTTCTATGAAACATTATGTTTATGTTTTAACAGGGATTTTATCCAATCTATAGATTGTTTTGGTGAGTACAGTCATCTTCATGACTTTAGTGCTTCTGGTCCAAGAGCATGGGCTCTTTTAGTTTTCCGTGTCTTCTTTAATTTCTTTCATCAGTGCACTGTGGTTTTCCTTGGTGAAATTCATTCCTAGTTATCTTATTATTTTTTGTAGCCACTGTAACTGTTGCATAGGACACCACTGACTTTGAACATTGCCACTTTACTGAATTTACACATTAGGTCTAGAGTGTTGGCAGAGTCCGGTCATCGGAAAGAGGGACAGTTGTGCTTCTTCCTTTCTGGTGTGGATGCTTTTTCTTTCTCTTGCCTCGTTGCTCTGGCGAGGACTAGTATTAGTCCTTAAGTCTTAGTGAATTATGAACTAATTTGCTGTGCTGCCGGAGGAAGACCATGCCTTCTTTCCCCTGTGCGTGCCTAAGAGAGAGACGGAGCCCATGCCCAGGGTTTGAATGAAGAACTCCAAATAATGAGGGAAGTTCAGCTTTTGGTAAACTTGGGTTTTGCAGTCATATAGTGTAGAAAGAAGTGACTCTAACTTCCACATACATTTACATTTTCTGCCATCTGGAAAGTAGCACTGCACTTGTTACAACATGTGGGCGGGCTGTGCACCACAGTCTTGTCTACATCCTTTAGGCCTCTCCTCTGGCCATCTTGCCACTTCCCAGGGCCTGCTCATACCATGTGCCTCTCTCTGAGGTCAACCTTCCGGGGCCAAGTGAGATGAAACATCAGACGTAAAAAGGCTTTGAGTTAGGGATTCCAGGGGTGTGTCACCTGCACACTCAGACATATCTGCAGACTGCCAAAGACACGTGTCTTCTTCTCTCACCGCTGGGACCCTCCGAGCACACTGACCATGAACAACCCCAAGCGTCCGGCTCTGACGTGTCGTTTCCGCGCTGAGCCATACCTACATTCGTTTATGAGCTCACATCTTCGTTCTTGGCACACAAAGATGAGGACGAGTGAGCACATTCTTTGGCATGTGTGTATAATGTTGCTAATGGCTTTAAGCATTCTGAAATTCACTAGAGGTAAGAAAGTACAAAGGAAAAGCTGGATAGATACTCCTGCCCTTAAATCCTACAAGTCGATAGCATTTGAGCGCGGATAGGAACTCGCCCTCTCTGTGCACTGTAAACATCCACTCACTCTGCTTCACCCAGAGCCTCTGTGTCCCCCTGCCCCTTGTTTTCTTTCTGCTTAACTGCTCAGTTGAGACTCCTCAAGAGGTTCCCAGAGATCCCTCAGGCTGGACAAGTCCAGGACAGAATCTGGAACCTCTGGATTTTGCTGTAGACGCTTTCCTGAATGCCCCTTGAATTGACTCCACTCCTCTTTTTGTTTAAACTTGTCCGCTAATTTATCTCTTGCTGCTATCAGGAAATGCTTGGTAGCATCTCTGGCCTCTGCCTGGTAGACAACGGCAGCACCCAGCTGTGAAAGCCAAGGATGTTTCCAGACACTGCCAAGTGTCCTGGGGGCAAACCTGTCCCCTCATTGAGAACAACTACCCGATTCTGACCCAAATTATCTTTGTGAAAACAATATCTAGTGAAGGCATAGCCTTAAGTTAAATAGCTGATGGCTCCCATTGTCCAAGAACAAATGCCCAGCCTGACACGTTTTGCCCTTACTGTAAGATGCAACAGCCCAACAGCACGGCCAGCTCTGTACCTTGTCTGCTGCGGACAGTCTGGTCCAGGGCTTGTCTGCCCTCCTGTCATAGTCCTGTGCTTTTGCTACTTCCACATAATCACTGAATCGTATCAGAATTTTTCTGTCTCTTAATTCATCAACAGTGGGTCTCTGATTTAGCTGAAATAAAAGATCATCGTGGTTACGTATCACATGCCAAACTCGTTTCTTTGAAGTACTCTGAATTGCACGTTTCTATCAGCAAAAACGAAACTCTGAAACTGTGAAATACAACCTGAATGTAACCTTCTCTGACATGAAGGGCTTATATACTGAAATCTTAAGTTATAAATCCCCGCTCCTCCAATGCATTTTATCAGAAGGATTCACACTCCCAATACTACATAGCACAGGCTTGAGTAATGGTTGATGAATTAACTTAGAATAAATTTTATGCATCAGTAGCTTCTTTTTAAGTGTGATTTGATAAGCTCTTTTTCTAAGTACTGATACAGTTATAATGTGAACTGCTATTCACACGCCAAGCTTGGGAGGGACGTTCTGCGAACTTCCAGCAGAACAGAATTTCATTAGTATTTGGAGCACAGTGGGAGAGCAAGCAGAAGAACGCTTGAATTTAGAAATGGTCAGGGTTTTAAAAGTAGATTAAAGTTTATAGCATCGCTCTTTGTGTTGGCCACAGTAAATTTTAACAATTGAGTCACAGACACAAACCTTTGAGGCTAACAAAATTCTCTATAGTCAAAGTGCATGCCCAAGGTGACCAAAAATTATGATTTTAAAAAGTAACCAAAACATTGATATCCAGACATGCTTTTCTTAGGCCTTGTGCAAATTAAGAAAATGCTCTGTCAACTTCTGGCTTCCACCGGAAGCAAGCAGAAGTGTCACTGGACGGTGCTGCCTCTGCCTGCTCCACTGCACCGTCGACAGATCTGATCCACAGGGAATGTTAGAGCCATGCGCTGGGAGGTGCCAAAGACACGCTTTCTGAATGAGTTAATGCATGGTTGCTGAACAAATTCTCTGATGTGACCGATGTTGCATGGTCCAGGAAGACAGCACTCGTGATCCAGCCTGATGCCGGCAGTCCCTTCCCGACTGCTGCGGGAGCAGCTTTCCTTAGGTTGACCTCTTATTATTCAAGAAATAAAACGCTTCTAGTACCTTTCTCGTCAACCTCTGCTTGATTTCTCTTCTTTCTTCCTGTTCTGTCTGATCATTCCTTTCTGTGGAAGATTAAAACAGAAAAAAATAATGGTTGAGACTTCTCTTTAGCAGGGAAGAGAGCACCAGATTTCCATGTCTCTGGCAGCTGAAAGTGGGACATTAAAGATATTTTTCTCCAATCACCATTTTTGTGGATTTTTTTTCCATTTTGCTCATTGATGCCCAGAGGACCATGGTTTCACTGTCACACAGAGACACCTGTGCTGGGTGGGGCTCTGCTGCCACCCCGGCCTGGCACCCTCAGCCACTCTCTACTGTCCAGATGATCACAGGGGCTGCTGGGGGCTCCTTCCAGGGAATAGACACCCGTGTGTCTCCCTCCCTTTCGTACCGATTATCTTTCTCTGCTCTGTCTGCGTATCTTTACCTGTATATTTACATGTATTAAACATACCTAATACACAAATGGCACATAAAAAGAGCTGCAGTAGACTGAGCATGAAATATATGAAGCATAAATGATAATATATAAGCATAAATGTATGAAAGCGTTTGAATATAAATAGCACTGCCCCTGCTTGTATTTTTGTTTTTTCCATTTTTAGCCAACCAACATAAGGTGTGGAAAACCCTTGTCAGGTGCCGGGTTACCTAGGATTCATATTTTCAGGGTATATTTCAAATCTGAACGTGTCTTTGAACCCAGCTGAGTCTCCATTGCTGAAGCGTGAATACTTTCACGTGACAGTGCCTTTTAAAGGAGCCCAGTTCCCTCACTGAAACTGGCTTTGCTTAGTGAGTTGTGACTATTAGCATTCAAGCTGTGCTCACACCTACACTCAGGAGCTAAAAATAGAGCAGAGTGCTGAGATATAGTAAAAATATAAGCCTTACCCTGGGATACAAGATAGTGGCTGTCCTATTTCTGGTGCTTTCTGTAGCTAAATAAAGCCTCTGGTTCCCAACCTGAGCAGAGCTCCACTGCTGGGAAGGAGAGCTTAACACTGAGCACTCCTGGAAACACGGCCAGGTGCTGGAAAGGGAGATCCCGCTACTTGCAGTAAAAGGCAGATAATATGAAGTTATGTTATTTAAAAATACACCTGCAACATTTGTCCACGTGGGGGATTGTGTATATGGGTGTTTAATATATTAGCCATTGCACTGTTTGGTAACTGTTTAAAACTGCGGTTTTCAACCTGTGGGTCACCACCCATAGGAACTCTATTAAAGGGCCATAGCATTAGAAAGGTTGAGAACCACTGGTTTAAAAGGAGTCATCTCAGACTGGGGTGTTTTTTGAAAGGAAATGAAACTCTGATATGTGCTTCATTGTTTATTCAAGTAATAAATCAGAAGAAAACAGACTTCTAAGCTACACGAAAGGAAGCTGATAATACAATTAGAAAAAAATTGTGAATGTATCCCACACGTGGCATAAGGCCAGCCACGAAGACCATGGTCGAGTCCCAGGTGCAGAAATACTAAAACAGAATCAGAACTTTGTTTTGTATATTGGGAAGAACGCCGTCATTACCACCCGGGTCATGTGAGCATAGCAGGGTCTTTGGAGAGGTGATCTTGGAAAGGGCTTGCCAGAGTGCTTCTCCGCACTCCGGGCCCTGTCAGACACCTCCGCAAAGCCCATCGTGACAGCCTGAGCTTGTAAGCTGCACCCCTCTGAGCTTCCTTAATCATGTGTTTATGGAACTCATCTCCAGACCTAGGAAACTCTGTGCTTTACGCAAAACAAGGGATCTATAATCAGGACCTCTGTACCCCTATTTTCTGGAAACAGCTCCAGCAGTTACACATGAGGATACATGGATACTTAGACATGAGTCTCCTTAACCATCGCAACGTACTACTGCTTCTAATGCATGGGCTGAATGTGGGCAGTGGAATTGGCAAACCTGACGTTGAACTTCAGCTCAAGACTCTTGCCAATGTTCATTGTTTAAAAAATCCTATCATAGGGTGGTGCCTGTGGCTCAAAGGAGTAGGGCGCCAGCCCCATATGCCGGAGGTGACAGGTTCAAACCCAGCCCTGGCAAAAAAAAAAAAAAAAAAAAAATCCTATTGCCTGGGCAGTGCCTGTGGCTCAAGAAGTAGGGCCCTGTATACCAGGGGTAGCAGGTTCAAGCCCCGCCCCAGCCAAAAAAAACAAAAATCCTATCACCTCACTGAAGTTTAGCTTCTTCATTAGTAAAATGGGGAGAGCAGCACAAACCTCACAAATCTATCATAATAATTAAATGAGGGAGTAAACACCAAGCACTGGTTGTAATGTGTGGCACAGATTTGGCCAAGAATTATTTTTATCACCATCAAGAAAGGGGGCCCCAGGTCTGCTCTGACATGCATCTGACCTCAGGCAGAGTTCTGAGGCTTCTCAGATATGACTGCAATTGGTCAGGAGTTCCCATCTGAAGGGAGCGAACACAGAGTGATGACGCTCCAGGAACTGGTTAGAAGAGGGCAAGGCAACATTGCATCAGCGAGGGCCTGTGGTCAAGGCCTCTGAGCATGACGTCCCACACTGAGCTATACATAGCCTCCCTATTATCATCCCCAGAACTAAACAAAAGAAAACATAGCAAACACCCACCCCAAACCCAGCAGTGACATTCTCAGGCCCTCCCACTCAGGACCCTTGGGAAGGCTTCCGCGCTAAGCAAATCCTGCGGCTCCCTGGTGACGACAGAGTTGATGGCGGGCTCACCATGGCCACAGCAGAGGAAGTCCGCTTCCCTTCTGTGCACTGAAGGTAAAGTACATAAGTCCCTGTCGTCCACGTGCTGGCTCTCCATTCACCAAAAGACAGTTCTATTTTTAAGGCTTTGACATTTATTTGTAAAAAAAATCACAAGTAGAAGTGCTTGCTGGTGGAAGGACCTGGCTGCCCACAGCATGAGGGGCGAGGCTGCTACTGAGGGAAGGACTGGCTCCCAGACGGCGCTGGTCTCTGCCTGGGTGCACGGCAGACCGTGCTGCACATGGGGCTCCCCAGTCTTAAACTTGCCTGGTTCAGGTCTCGACTGCAACTATTGGTGGCATCTATGACTTACACACTTTATAGGACACAATTTTTAAAAATTCAAATATCTGGTAACTGACACAGCTTGGTTTTTCTGTCTTCCGACGTCAGCATGTTATCCATGAGAAGCGTCTCAGTAATCCTCCCTCAGGCTGACATGGCCTAGCTGATGGAACATAGTCTAGTTGTGTCAGCAACTTTTCACTTAGGGTGAAAAGATCAAATGAGGATTCTTCATCTGGGGTTAAATATTTTCAACAACCCATAAGGGAGGGGACTGTTTTAGGCAGTTAATGGAGGCATTGAGGCAAAGGACAGAGAGAGGAATCAGTCAGATTCCAGAGCTCAGAACAGCAAGGGGCCTCTGTGGTCCGCTTTCTCATGAGAAGGCGGCTGGGACAGTCCGTAACCTACTGCAAAGGTGGTCACCAGTAAGGTAGACTCAAAGAGTGACCACAGTGTCCATCACATAAACAGGGGAAGGGAAGACAAGGAGGAAGGAAAAAAGGAGGGAGGGAGGGAGGAAGGAAAAAAGGAGGAAGGAAGGAAAGGAGGGAGGAAGGAAGGACAGAAGGAAGGAAGGAAGGAAGGAAGGAGGGAGGGAGGGAGGAAGGGAGGGAGGGAAGGAAGGAAGGAAAAAAGGACGGAGGGAGAGAGGAAGGAAGGAAGGAAGGAAGGAAGGAAAAAAGGAGGGAGGAAGGAAGGAAAAAGAAGGAAGGAAGGGAGGGAGGGAGAGAGGGAGGAAGGAAGGAAATTTTAAAAATCTAGATCCTTAGAAAACATTTATGTTAAAAATTTATGTCTAAATTTTTTTCTAAAAAAAAAATTATCTAAGGGGAAAAAAAAGTTTTAAAAACTGAAACTGACTGTATAGAGAACTGAGAAATGCTTTTGAAGTGACTTCAGTGGGATGGAATATCGCCGTCTACACTCCATACCACAGAGATTACTCGGGAACACCTGTGAGCAGCACACATGATGACCGGATGGAATATCGCCGTCTACACTCCATACCACAGAGATTACTCGGGAACACCCACCAGCAGCCGCACCATAACCGGATGGAATATCGCCGTCTACACTCCATACCACAGAGATTACTCGGGAACACCCACCAGCAGCCGCACCACGACCGGAGGGAATATCGCCGTCTACACT